GAATGCTGGGCTTTTTTTAACGCGGTAATAATATCTGGTTTAAACGGCATGGGTGAATAGAAGGTTTTGAAGCATGCGCGTGACTGGTGGGTGTACCAAATGCGCATGACTTTCGGGTTTTGGTATGGCGCGTAAATTCTACGTTATGAGTTCCCCGTGAATGTTTCGTTGCTCTTTACGCATGCATGATGGGTATGTCCTACGCGCGTGATCGGGGTTTAAGTAGGACGCGTGAATGCTGAGCTGATGTTTGAAGAGCACTTGTTGGTTATTCAACAGCGCGGGACTGTTGATCATAACAAAGTACATTGCCTGCATGGACTTTTCCGGTGTTAGCAGGTTTCGAAGCATCTTCTCGCGTTTCAGAGAGCTGAAGGAGGAGGATGGAGGCCGCGGACGATAATCCTCTGGCACGGGGCAAGATGGGGAAGGCTGCGTTCGCCACCACGGTAGCGTTTGGGTGTGGGGTGCTCTGGCCGCTGTACAAATTTGTGGAACGCGGGAAGCAGGGTCAGCGCGTGCAGCAGGCGGGACCTCCCGCGCCTGTTGATGCTGTTGAGGCAGGCAAGGCGGCTGCAAAGCTTGCAGGTGGCACTGATCTCATGATCGTAGGATGCGTTGCCGTGTGGAGGACGATTCAGGCATTCTGGAATGTCATCTATCTAAGCCATGGCTTTATCGCGTGTTGCCTGAATGCCCTTTTTGCAGGCGGAATGGGTGGCTTTGCAGGGTCGTCTTCCTGGTCGTCTCATTCGCCCGCGTTCGCAACTCGGGGCTCGCCTGTGTTGTGCCCTCTTTCTGATGTTGGAGGATTGGGACGCGTGTTCAGAGCCGCAAGCTGGCACTCAAGTTCGTCGACCTTGGACTGCAGTTGGGCTGCAGTCGCCTTGGTGGATTGTAGCTCCGTGAGGTCTCTCGCATAATGGTCCTTCTCTTTGCTGAGGGAGGTGGTGAGTACCATGAACTGGTGCTCAGTGTGGAGGCGCAAGGAGACGTCCTGCATATCCATACATGTGAACATGTCAGGCTGGTTGGAAAACGCATGATGTTCCGTGCCATGCAAGCCGATTAATAAACCTTCGGCTTCCCACGTTGGTGTCGGAGCGTTCCGAAGAGCCCTTCCTGCTGCATCCCTGAATGCCACCATTCTTCTCCACTGCTGGAACCCTGGATGCCAACATAGTCGCGATGCCCACACGTACGGATGGTTTGGATTGTGAACCAACATCATGGCGAGATCCTCCGCTACGTGTGTTGCCTGATGAGCGTCTTCTCATCTGGCTCTATGTCCACTTTTGACTGCCCAATGTGGTAATCTTCTGGCATTCCCGTGAACCCAGCAGAAGGGAGAACCGCCATTCTCACGGTTCCTTTGAGATAATGGCGTCAGTTCTCCAGTTGCCTTCTCGTCCGATTCGATCGTCTTCCACTCCTTGCATCGACTGTGTCAGTGCGTTGGATGCATGCGAGGCATGCGTGACTTACGTAATGTCGATGTCTACCTTGTGGAACACGTGTAGTACCCAATAGTTGTAGGTGGATGCTGGCACGGGTGTCTGGTTACTGTCCGCGTACGACCAGAAAATGAAGGTGTCGTACCACTTGTTAGGCTCGCTGAAGTCCAGCGGGTGGATCCACTCTCTGTCGTCCTCGTAGAATGCACGCACGATATCGTTGAACCAGTGGTGTAGCAGCAGCAGATGCCCTACATGGCAAAGGTTGTAGTCGACATGTCGTGCGGCATTGCAATTTTGCAGCTCGAAATTCCTGTTGGTCTTCCTGCTTCGTGTGGACAAGGTGATGATTACCGCCTCTCCCAGGGGATCCATTGCCGAGAGACCGCCCAGCCTGTGAATCATGATATCTGGCAGCTGGAGTGCACGCACAGTTCCTGCGTGGGCGAGAGTGTAGTGGCTCAACAAGAGCTTCGCCTTGGCGACCAGTGCTCGGTGCAGTAGAGACATGGGCTTAGGGTGCACGGGCGAGAATTTTTCTGCCACGTCACGCACGAGAGAAAGCTGCATTATTATACTGAACTGGTGGATCGTATACGTGTCCGCTCGTGTTCCCCTATGTCGGTCGATGTACTCCCTGCACACAGCGCACGTGTTGATGTTAGAACGGCTTGGAAACCAAAAATGCGCGTGAACAATGAACCTTAACAATGCACGTGAACAATGAGGCTTGAAAAATGCGTGTGAACAATCAGGTTTAGAAAAGTGACACTCACGCCTTGAACCACTTGAACTACTTGCGCATCATCAGGCTAATGAGGACTTTTACCTCGTCGATCTGCTTGGTGAGGTCTTCCATGTCAAGCAGTGCCACCTCCGCCTTGCAGTTAAAATTCAGTCCGCGGAATCGTGACATCACTATCCGACGCTACATGCAATCCCCTTTCGGATGGGACGTGCCGGATTCAGACTCGCGAGCACGAGATCCTTCTCTGGGGTCTCCGTGGTGCAGTACGAGATGACCATCTTCAGCCTCCACTACGGTAGTTTGGGGCCGTGCAGCCAACATTCGTGCATGGGCGCCTCCTCCCACATGGCCCCTAGATTCTTCCCATCTTCCGCTGCTAGAATCGCGTTCGACGGATATTTCCCTGGGTGTAAGCGCTTGGCCTCATGGTAGAACCACCTTTTGTACTCCAGGATCGCCGAGTAAAACTGCTTGTGTGTGTTCTCTTCTAACAGTGCAAACAACTTCATGACAAAGATAATTCGTGCCCCAATGTCCGCCTCTGCTTCTATCGCGTTCCAGTCTGCAATGGGCTCGCCTACGACCCAGTTCTTGGGAGGTTCACGCGTTTCTGCGGGCACGGGCTCCTCGTCTGGATCAAGGGAGCGAAGAACCCTCTCCTCCTCATCCGCCGAGACCTCATCTCCAATTACAAATTCGCCTTCCGCATCACATCCTGGTTGCCGCGCATCTTCTCCGACTATAGGTGGTGGAATGGCTTCTGTGGGTCGACCTAACCCTGGTCCTGGCGGCTGGCGCAGACTGCCTGTATCGGCTATAGTAACTCTAGTTGCCACAGATTCTCGGATGTTCTAACTCCATCTACCCCAACACAGGCGTTGCCACACCAGCATCATTCTCCTCCCACTCCCACCCGCACTCACGCCACCTGACCCTGCGGCACAGGCTGCAAGATGGTGGAATAGACGTGGAGGACAGTATGAGCTTGCAAGAAAAGGATAGTGAGAGCTTTCATGAAAAGGGGGGCGGTAGAGGGCGAGGGAAGAGGTTGAGGCCTGGCAATGCTGATGTGGAGGGACAAGAGGCATTCGATCTAGAGGGAGATGTAGATCGAGATCGATCTGATGGCTGGGAAGGGGGTGTTGGGGTGAGGAAGGGAGGGAACATCGAACAATAGCTTCCCTCGGAAATCGGCCCGGGCAATGGCACTCCCACTAGTGGGCCTGGCGGCGGCTACCAGGGCGAATTTGACGCTCCCGCGAGCGGGCCTGGCAGTGATAGTGACGACGAATTTGGCGCTCCTGCTAGCAGGCTCGGCGGCGACAGTGACGGCGGATTCGGCGCTCCCATCAGCGGACCACAACTGCGTCCTAGCGGAAAGGGCGATAAGGGCAGAAATGGTGGAAAAGGCGGGATTCTTATTGGTGGCCGGAAGGGCGGCGGGAAGGGCGGGAAGGGAGGGACGGTGATACGGGCGGGAAGGGCAGAAATGTGAACACTGGTGCACCCTCTAGCGGCCCTGGCGTCGGTGAGCGTCGGCGATTCTGGCGGATTTGGCGCACCCGTCAGTGGGCCCCCGTTGGCGAAAAGCTTGATCATGGAAAGGACGGAAAGGGTGGGAAGGGGGGTGGAATTGGCGCATGTGACAGTGAGCACTTGCCTGGCGGGATGATGATTGGCATTAACAAGACCAAGAAGGGCGGGAAGGGAGGCAAGATTGGTACGGGCGGGAAGGGCGGAGATGCGAAGGGAGGCAAAGGCAGGGACGGGAAGGGCGGAGATGTGAACACTGGTGCACCTCCTAGCGGTCCTGGCGGAAAAGGCGCACCCCGCAGTGAGCTAGCGCCTGGCAGAAAGCCTGATGGTGGAATGGGCGGGGAGGGCGGAGGATCTGGCGCACGAGGCTGTGAGCCCGTACCTAGCGGAATAATGGCCGGTGGTGGAAAGGCCGGGGGAGGAAAGATCGGACATGGAGGCAAAGATGGGAAGGGCGGGGGTACTAGACCACCGCCCGCGCCTCATGGAAAGGGAAAAGGGAGGGGAGAGTGGGGAAAGGGAAGCAAAAGTGGAAAGGGTGCCTGCTCTGGTGGACCAACAAGCGGGCCTGGTGGCCCAGCCTTACAATAAATTGTGTTGTCTTCTCTACGATGATAAAATATTGTTGTACCTGCTTGTATGTTACAAAGTGTCTTTCAAAAGCCCCTTAGGCATTTTTCTGCTTATGGTTGGTGACATAGAACCTTCTGGTTTGGGTGATAGGGGTGGAGATGGGTTGGAGATGGGGCTTGCAGTCGTAAACGAGGTTGCTGTTAACGGAGATGGGGTTGGGGACACACCGTACCTGGACATTCAGGTCAGTTCTGTCGCGACAGGCATCATCCCTTGCGACCCTCGACGTGAGCTTTCGCAGAACAGTTGCGAGTGTCAATTCTCGCTCGTGCCAATTTCGTCAGAGCATCGGCCATCGTCAGCTATTCCAAATTCTCCACGTGCACACGCTGGAATGGCTGGGTGGGTCCGTGTGCGATCTTTTCGCACGACTCGCATTGAATCCACGAACCGCGTGGATAACATTTGCCAGTGAAATGCTGCCTCAGTCGGTGGTACAAGAGCAACATTTCGTGTGTCGAAGTTTCGCTGATTGGACGAGGCGAGAGTGTCGAAGGCAGAAATTGGAGGACCACGCAAATTTGCGGCGTCGTGCCACCCTTGCCCCTGACTGGCGCCTTTCTTGGAATCCCTCTCCTCTCCACCTTGCAAGTCCGGTCTGGTGGACTTACATTTTCCGCCCCTCGTTGCTTGAAGTTATCTCACTTCCACTAATTTTGGACCTGCTTGCTTTGCACTAGAAACCTTCATAGCATAAGCTTGAGAGCTCCGTTGACAGGACAAGACGACAGCGGAAAGCTAGTGTCAAGAGAGTCAAGGACTGAAATCTATTGAGCAGAGTGCAGTAAGCTGCTGAAACTATCGCCTTGAGATATCGATAATGACGTCCCGCGGGTGTCTCCTGGGGTTGGCCCTCGGCCTTGCGCTTGCACTACTCGTGGCTTCCACGCACGGTCGCCCGTTAAACACGCACGGCCGCGTGACCTTGGAACAGACCGAGATTCAAGTAGCTTTCCCCGCTATAGAGCAAGTTCTCGCACTCAATAACGCGGATGAGGGTCTTCTCTCCGCGGACCCCGTCGCACGGGTCGATCGCACAGACGCGGGCGACATCACAGGGCTCACCGAAGCCGTCGCCAGCAGTCGCCTCGGCGACCCGGAGATGTCGAAGGTCACGCGATGGGTCATGGACCTCCTTCGCGAAACGTCGCAGGAACTCGCCGCAGGGTACTACGAAAAGGCGGCAAAGAAGTTGTTTTCGCCACGTACGATCGTAATGCCGCCGGAAGGACCGTCCCTCTTCCTCCTCTCCTCCTTCCAAAAAGCGGCTTTCCTGCAAACCCTCTCACTCTCCCTCCCTAACGTCGAGTTTCAGCCGGACGGCATCTCGATATACGACCTCAAGTACAAGACTTATAAGAAGTACGGGATGACTATAACGGGGACGTACGTCACCTCCCCGTCGCCTCTCGCGCCGGCCGTTACACCCGACAACGGCAAGTTTGTCTTCTACTGGGACCTTCTCAAGGAGAAGGCCGTCGGCGATGCTGACGTGGCGCAGTTCCCGCTAGAGGGCGACGCGGGGGAGAACGCGCTTCGCGCCGCCGTCGAAGGCGCTTCGGCGGAGGGCGCTTCGGCGGAAATCGCATCGAACGGCGGGAAATACATCTGGGGCGTCAGCTGGATGATCTGGAACTCGGATCTTCCCAAGGACGCGCCCGCACCGGAAGTGAACGTCGCAGCCAGTTTCCTCGAAGCTGCTGGAGCCGCCGCAAATGGCGCTGCAGAAGCCGCCGCAGAAGCCGCCGCAGAAGCCGCCGCATTGGACGGCGCAGCAGCCGCGACATTGGCCGACCCGCGCCCGCAGGACATCATCATGCGGATCCAGGCCGCGTGGGAGGGCTTCTCGGCGGCGATCGCGACGGGCGACGCGGTGTCTGCAACGGCTATCTTCGCGCCCGTGGTGATTCTGCTGCCGCCCAACCAGCCGAGAACGATGCTCGTGACTCCCGACCAGAAGCAGCGGTTCGCGCAGGTGAGCTCGCGGGAAGGGGGGAAAAGTACGCGCTATATTCTGACAACGCAGGTGAGCTTGGTAGAGTGGCGAACGGCAGAACGTAGACAGATGCCGTTCGCCCTCTCCTGTGTCCCCTCTGGACCTCCCTTGCGCCTGCCTTGTCGCCTTCCCATTTGGACGTGCGCTAGCTAGCCGCAGGATGTTGTTGCCTTGTCCCTCTGAAATGCCGCCCTCCCTGCTGCCACTGAGTGTGACTGTAGCGGACGTGATTCTAGCGGAGCTCAAGTCAACCACTGACCCCACTGACCCCACAGACCCCACAGACCTCATGATCTCACTTGACACACTCACTCGTGCTCCCGTCTTCTTTCTCCCCACAGGATCGGATTGACGCCCAGGTGTCACTGACTGTGACTGTAACGTGCCTCTAGTGAAGCTCAAACCACCGAACCCAGCGACCCCATCATGGCACTCAAGTCTTACCTCTCCATCCTATACCCACTCCCATCATCTTTCTCCCTGCAGGATCTTATTGACGCCCAGGTGACGCTGAGTGTGACTGTAGAGGACGTGGTTCTAGTGGAGCTCAAGTCCACCACCGACCCCATGATGGCGGGCGGGTCCAGCAGCCTCTCCGCCCTCGTCCGCAGCAGCTACTCCAAAACCACTTCTGAGGGTAATTTACCCTTTTGCTGATACCCTTTCTCTCTGTCTGTCTTCTGTTCCTGCTCCGTAGCCATTCCAGCCCTCATTCCCCCAAACCCCCCCCCCCCATACTCTGCAACTTCCCCCTCACTGCTCTGGCCTGTCCCTCTCAAGCTCACTGTCCTATGGTCCCCCCGTTCACATCCCCGTTTTGATCCGTTTCGTTTGCGTGCAGGTCGAGTGGTGGAGATGGGCAAGCGTGTGGATCTGTTTCAGCAGAACCCCTTGCTCCCCGGCCAGTGGTCCTTCGCCTACTCCATCTGGAACTCTGATGGCCTCGTCGCACCCGCCATTAGCTAAACAGCGCTAGCTATGGGGAGTTCCACGGCTTATGGGTTTGGTTGATTGAGGGCTTCTCTTCTGAGCCAACTGTGGGCTGGAGTTGACTGTTGCTAACTTGCTATAGATATGTTATACATAAACATATATAATCCAATAATACGTTGTTCCCCATGGTTATCACCCGTGTTTCCCATGTGTCACGTTTTGGTAGCGTTAGCGGCATAAGATACAAATAGGAACCTACCTCAAAAACTAACTTGCCTGCAAGTATTGACCTTCCCTATTCCACTTTTAAGTACATTTCTATCAAATGTTTGGAATGCGTTTGAGACGTATTGAAACTTGCACATTTCTTCCGAATAGGCGGTGGTCACGGCTGACTCTGTAGCGAGTTTTTCCTGGCACCCTTTACCTGACCCCACCCCACTGATGCATTCCTTGCTACCAGACCCATTGCTAGCAACAGTATCAGTTATCCACGTCTGGCTGTTCTAGCTAGGTGCCAGTTGCATAGGGTGCTTTTCTGGCTAGCGACACGGCCAATCCCCAGCGCCTGCTTTCCTATCGCAGCGATGGGATCGTCTGGCGGCGACGCGGTATTCGCGGCAGCGGAGAGCACCAAGTGGCGCAGCGCCAAGGAGCGGCAGACCGTTCTCGCTGTCGCTTCCGCCACCGCTGACGTCATCAGATCGCAGGGCCTGTCGCCATCGCCCACAGCGTATTTTGCGGCGCTAATCTCGGCGCTAGAAGCGGCCGAGTCGTTAAAATCTTTGGGTGAGGTTCAAGGAGCGGCGGGCGCGGGGAAATCTCTTCGCGTAAACCCGAAACCCCGTGTTAAACCCGCGGGACCCGTGAACGGTCTAGATGCTGTTTTGGCGCTGCTGAACCTCGCGATTCCGCTCACGCCGGAGTCGATCGTACGGCTGAACGCAGCGCGGCTTCTGCCGCTGCTGACTGCCACCGTCGATCTCTGGGGAGCTAATAGCGGATCTGGACCTGCCAATAACGGGGATAATGTATCAGGTGGATCTGAAGTAGTGGGGGAAGAAGCTATGGAGGACGAGGAGGAAGAGGAGGGGGGAAAGAGCGCGCACGGGGGGATAGCAGCTGGCAAAGCGACAAACAGTCCCGGCGGCAGTGCGGGCGGCACGGGGCTGGCGTGGGCGGAGGATCGGCGGAGAGTGGTGGCGGCGGCGGTGGACTGCCTGGGGTATGTGATTGCAGCGAGAGTGGCAGGTGCTGGCGGCGACCCCAAGAACGTGTGGACGGCTGACGTGGCGGCGGGGTTTAAGGCGGTGCTGGATCACTCTGTAGCGAGTCAGCCTAAGGTGGGATAACAAAGGTAGTTTCTGCCGTTCCTTACGGAACGGAACAAAAATGTTACACACGGTTACGCGCCCCCTCTTGACCGCAGACCGCTCAGTACTTCGTCTTGACCGCAGACCGCTCAGTACTTCGTCTTGACCGCAGACCGCTCAGTACTTCGTCTTGACCGCAGACCGCTCAGTACTTCGTCTTGACCGCAGACCGCTCAGTACTTCGTCTTGACCGCAGACCGCTCAGTACTTCGTCTTGACCGCAGACCGCTCAGTACTTCGTCTTGACCGCAGACCGCTCAGTACTTCGTCTTGACCGCAGACCGCTCAGTACTTCGTCTTGACCGCAGACCGCTCAGCACTTCGTCTTGAATGCGATACCGGCAGCCGGGCTATTTGAATGACTAGCATCCTTTGTTAACTTCTCCGGCTATTTGAATGGGCTGTAAGGGTTTGGGGGTTCGGGCTTGATACGCACCTCGCCTCTCCCCCTCCTTCCCGCTACTTCTCCCCCCTCTTCTCCCCCTCCCCCTCTGTCCGCGGGCAGGTGCGCAGCTTGGCGCAATCCGCCCTCCTGAAGCTTCTCAGCACCTTCCGCGCCTCTCCCGCCGCCCTCTCCGCTGCCTCCACAGCAGTCGTCGATTTCGCGGAATCTCTCATCGTCAGGGCGCTGGCTCCCTCCAAGCAGCTGGAACAGCCACGTCAGCAGCCACGTCAGGAGCCACGTCAGCAGCAGCAGTCGTTACAAGAGGCAGCCGCAGCAGCAGCGGCTGCGGTGCTCCGTTTCATCTCCTGCCTCCGCCCTCTCCTCCCCCTTCTCTCCCCGCCCGCCCTGCCACGTGTCACCCTCCGATTGGTCGAGCTCCTCGAGATCCGCCACCCCCTCCTGGCCTGCCGCGTGCTGGACGCCCTCCACTCGCTGATGTCAGCACCAACCCCAGCCACGTCAGCTGCCACGTCACCCGTTTCTAAAACCCTGATCTCGGAGGTGGTAGCGCGGTTGCTTAAGCAGGAGGGGGAGAGGCAGGCGTTGGGGGGAGGGGCGGGCGGAGGGTGGGGGGCGGGGGGCGGGGGAGGCGGAGGGGGAAGGGGGAGGACGGATGTAGCAGCGGTGCGTGCACTGTTGGAGTGCGTGCGGGCGGCGTTAATTCGTCTCCACGCGATGGATGCTGACGCGTGCGTCAGCCTGCTGCCGTCCACGTTCTTCACTCTCATTGGTCAGTCAGTATGCTCGCGCGCTTTGCTTCCATTGATTATCGTGTTCAACCAATTGCCGTCCCTGCCTCTGTTGCTGCCGCCCCTTCGTCTGTCATACCCCATGCGTCTCCATACCCCCATCATCCCCCCACCCATCATCCCCCCCCATCCCCCCCCACCCATCATCCCCCCACCCATCATCCCCCCCACCCATCATCCCCCCCCCCCCCCCCACCCATCATCCCCCCACCCATCATCCCCCCACCCATCATCCCCCCACCCATCATCCCCCACCCATCATCCCCCCACCCATCATCCCCCCACCCATCATCCCCCCACCCATCATCCCCCCACCCATCATCCCCCCCACCCATCATCCCCCCACCCATCATCCCCCCACCCATCATCCCCCCACCCATCATCCCCCCACCCATCATCCCCCCACCCATCATCCCCCCACCCATCATCCCCCCACCCATCATCCCCCCACCCATCATCCCCCCACCCATCATCCCCCCACCCATCATCCCCCCACCCATCATCCCCCCACCCATCATCGCCCCACCCATCATCCCCCCCACCCATCATCCCCCCACCCATCATCCCCCCACCCATCATCCCCCCCACCCATCATCCCCCCACCCATCATCCCCCCCACCCATCATCCCCCCACCCATCATCCCCCCCACCCATCATCCCCCCCACCCATCATCCCCCCACCCATCATCCCCCCCACCCATCATCCCCCCCACCCATCATCCCCCACCCCCCCCCCCCCAGACAACCTGGCGAGCGGGCACGAGGAGGTGGCGTTCGCCACGGCTGACTGCCTCAAGGCGCTCATCACGTCCTGCATCGACGACGCTGCTGTGGCCGCCTCCGCTGCCACAGTGCTGCAGCGCCAGGCGCAGGGGGGCGCGGGGGAAGGGGGTGGCGAAGGGGGGGCGAAGGGGAAAGCGCCAGTGGAGCGCGTGTGCGTGGCGGTGGAGCGGTCGCTGGGGTACCAGTTCCGGGCGTCGTGGGACCTGTCGCTGCTGCTCGTGGCCACTCTGTTCGACCGTATCGGTGAGTTGTGGGGGAAGGTTATGGGGATCCCGCAAGTGGCCGGTAGGGGCTTGGTTCCCGACTGGGAAGGTGCCAAGAGCGACAGGTGGGGAGAGGGAGGGTGTGCAGGGGAAAGCGCCAGTGGGGGGAAGGGTGTGAAGGGGAAAGCGCCAGTGGGGGGAAGGGTGTGCAGGGGAAAGCGCCAGTGGGGGGAAGGGTGTGCAGGGGAAAGCGCCAGTGGGGGGAAGGGTGTGCAGGGGAAAGCGCCAGTGGGGGGAAGGGTGTGCAGGGGAAAGCGCCAGTGGAGCAATCATTGGGGTACCAGTTCCGAGCCTCGTGGGACCTGTCGCTGCTGGTCGTGGCCACTCTCTTCGACCGCATTAATGAGTGGAGAGGGGGTGGAGGGGCCATTGCCTGTGGAGCGATCATTGGGGTATCAGTTCCGGGCGTCGTGGGATCTTTCCCTACTGCTCGTGGCCACTCTGTTCAACCGCATTGGTGAGTTGTGACGGAGGTTAGAGGCTTCCCAAGTGGCAAGGGGAGGGTGGGCTCACAATTGGGCAAAGCGCCAGTGGAACGCGTGTGTGTGGCGGTGGAGCGGTCGCTGGGGTACCAGTTCCGGGCGTCGTGGGACCTGTCGCTGCTGTTCGTGGCAACGCTGTTCGACGGCATCGATGAGTTCTGAGCAGCAGAGAGTGGCCAGTGGCCACTAGCAGCAGGGAGTTGCGTGGGGGGGTGAGACACGAGAAGCAAAAGCCGGGTAAGCGAGGACACAAGTGGGAGGACGAGCAGGGGGAAAGCACGAGTGGAGCGGTCACTGGGGTCTCCCTCAGGTAAGCTCCCTGCTCCTTGTCGGTACTCTCTTCGACCCCCCATTGGTGCCATACTAGCGAAGTAACTAAAGAGCGTGGGAGAGTGATCCAACGCCGGCATACCTCACCACAGACACAGGCGTATCGCAAGCAGCCATACATTGCTGTTCGCCTCAAAACCACTCCCCCCCCCCCCCCCACTTCCCCCCCTTCCCCCCCCTCCTCCTGTTCCCCCCTATCTTCTCCATTCGTACACAGGTCCCTCCTCCCACCTCTTCCTGGCCGCCACCCTCTCCGACCTGCATGACCTGCCAGATGGCCCACTGCAAGCACCTGCACGCCGCTGTCGGTGCTGCCATGGGCCGTTTCGAGTGATTCTTTTCACCCTCTCTTCTCCTCTCTCCCTGTCTCCCCGTCTCTCCCCTTGCAGGTCCCTCCTCCCACCTCTTCCTCGCCCCCACTCTCACCACCCTCTCCGATCTCCACGACCTGCCAGACGCCGAAATGGCCCACCGCAAGCACCTGCACGCCGCTGTGGGCGCTGCCGTCGCTGCCATGGGCCCCCAGCAGGTCCTCTCCATCCTCCCCCTTGGCCTTGACCCCGAACCCACCCCTGCTGCTGCTGCAACAGCACCAGCACCGGCCAATCCGGCGTCGCCACGTGTGTGGCTGCTCCCGATTCTGCGCCGGTACACAGCGGGCCAGCCCCTCTCCTTCTTCCTCTCCGCCCTCCTGCCCCTCTCCCACCGCCTCCTCCTCGCGGCACAGCAAGCCCGCTCCCCGCAGGTCAACCGCCTCATTGCAGCCAAGCAGCTCGCTGCGCTAAGAGCAGCCGTCTGGTCGCTGCTGCCAGCCGTTGCTAGTTTGGCGCCTGATACTGCACAGGTGAGAGAGAGTGAATCGTTAGGTGTAGAGATTGTATGTGAATCGTTAGGTGTAGAGATTGTATGTGAATCGTTAGGTGTAGAGATTGTATGTGAATCGTTAGGTGTAGAGATTGTATGTGAATCGTTAGGTGTAGAGATTGTATGTGAATCGTTAGGTGTAGAGATTGTATGTGAATCGTTAGGTGTAGAGATTGTATGTGAATCGTTAGGTGTAGAGATTGTATGTGAATCGTTAGGTGTAGAGATTGTATGTGAATCGTTAGGTGTAGAGATTGTATGTGAATCGTTAGGTGTAGAGATTGTATGTGAATCGTTAGGTGTAGAGATTGTGTGTGGCCCCTTCTTTCGTACACTCTGTTGCTCCCTGCGTTCATCACCCCAAGTGCTCCCTCCTTTCAAGTGCCGATTCTTTTCCCCGCTTTGTCAAACTCCTTCTCCTGTGCAGGTGTTCCCGCACTTAGCTAAGCATCTGGCGGAAGCAGTGGCAGCAGGGGGGAAGGGGGACGAGGGGGATGGCATGAGGTCTGCTGTCTGCGTGACCTTACAGGTACAGTCCGTGAGTGAGTGTGTGCATGTGCATGTGCATGTGTGTGTGCATGTGTGTGTGCATGTGCGTGTGCATGTGCATGCGCATGTGTGTGTGTTTGAGGCTACAGCTTCTGGTGTGTGTGACCTTACAGGTACAGTCTGTGAGTGAGTGTGTGCATGTGCGTGTGCATGTGTGTGTGTTTGAGGCTACAGCTTCTGGTGTGTGTGACCTTACAGGTACAGTCTGTGAGTGAGTGTTTGCATGTGCGTGTGCATGTGTGTGTGTTCGAGGCTACAGCTTCTGGTGTGCGTGACCTTACAGGTACAGTCCGTGAGTGAGTGTGTGCATGTGCGTGTGCATGTGTGTGTGTTTGAGGCTATAGCTTCTGGTGTGTGTGACCTTACAGGTACAGTCTGTGAGTGAGTGTTTGCATGTGCGTGTGCATGTGTGTGTGTTCGAGGCTACAGCTTCTGGTGTGCGTGACCTTACAGGTACAGTCCGTGAGTGAGTGTGTGCATGTGCGTGTGCATCTGTGTGTGTTTGAGGCTACAGCTTCTGGTGTGCATGACCTTACAGGTACAGTCCGTGAGTGAGTGTGTGCATGTGTGTGTGCATGTGTTTGTACACGCTTGTGGCATGAGGTCTGCCGTGTGTGTTTGAGGCCACAGCTTATGGTGTGTGTGCGTGCTTATGGTCAGAACCGAATGCCCTCTGCTCGTCTGTCTCTCCGCCCCTCTCCACCTGCATGGAACCCCCCTCCTCCCCTTACCTAGGCTGTGAGAGGTTTTTGAGAATTCTCAAAACCCTCCCTCCGGCCGTAACTGCTTTCTTTTCCCTCTCACTTGATGGTAGATCAGAACCGCATGGCCATGGGTCGTCCGCCCCTCTCCAAGCTTTTCTCAGCCTTGGACGATTTTTGAGGCGCCTCGAAAAGCTTTTCTCAGCCTTGGACGGCCTCTCTGGTGCTCCCCCCTTTCTTCCGTCTATCCTTCCCCGCTCCCCTTCCCCCCCTTCCAGTTGATGGTGGACCAGAACCGCATGGCCATGGGTCGTCCGCCCCTCTCCAAGCGTCTCACAGCCTTCGACGGGCTCTCTGGTGCTCCCACCACCTCCCTTGCTGCTGCCCTCACTGCTGGTTCTGCTGCTGCTGCTTCTGATCCTGCAAGTGCCGCTGCTAGTGCATCATCTGCAGCAGCAGCATTCCGTGCCGCACTGGAAGATGACGATGACATCACCGAGGCCGAGCGGCGGGCGTGGCGCCACCTCACCGCTGACGTGGCAGCTGCCAACCTGGCCGCCATGTCAGCATCCGCCCGCCCGTTCCTCCCGATGCTCTTCGACGCGTTTGTGGCCGCCGCCCCCGCCAAGAGGGGCGAGCTGCAGAGTGCCATCGGCGCGCTGGCTGCCGTGGCAGAGCCGTCCGCTCTCAGGGTCTTCTTTATGAACATCATGAACAAACTGCTCGCTGCTACGCATGCTGCTGCTGCTGCTGCTGGTGCTGCTGGTGGTGCTGGTGGTGGCGCAGGGGGAGGGGGAGCAGCAGCAGCAGGAGGGGATTCGAGCAAGGAAGCTGGAGAGAAGCGGTGAGTGGGGAAGAAGTAAAGGGACTTGATGCATTCTACTTAACACAGCCGCTCGACTCAAAAGGTGATTTTTGAGTCGACTAAAAAATCACTTAGAGAAGCGGTGAGTGGGGAAGAATGAAGGATGATGCATTCTACTTAACACAGCCTCTCGTCTCAAAAGTCACCTCCTACGTGCATACGCACACCTCACATGTAGCCTTTCCTACTTCCCCCTCCTCCACTCCCCCTGCAGGGCCATGCTGATGGATTCCCCCCTCTCCCTGCTGCCTCGCTTGGACGCCGAGTGCTGCCGTGCGGCCCCTTTCCCCATCAAAGCACACATCCATAACCCCCCTTCAACCCTCCCCCCCACATACATTGACCCCCCCCCACTTCCCCTCCGCCCCTCCCCCCCCTCCCCCCCCTCAGGGCGATGCTGATGGATCTCTCCCTCTCCCTGCTGCCCGGCCTGGACGCTGAGTGCTGCCGTGCGCTCTACAACGCGACAAGACCCGCCATCCATGTGAGTGGAATGCGACAAGACTTGCCATTCAATTCAACTGCTCCTCTCTCCGTTCTTGTCAGGACAAGGCTGCTGCAATGCAGAAGAAGGCCTACCAGCATCTCTCATCTCACCATAGCTCCAAGGTTCGTTGTCACCATAGCTCCATGCTAGGAAGAGCAGCAGTACGAAGTCGAGCTTGCAGGCACCTAAAACAAATTGGCAGATGCAGGCTTACCAGCATCTCTCATCTGGTCGTAGCTCCAGACTCTCCTCTGCCCCCTGTGCCCCCACTCCCTTTCCCCCATCCATCCACCCCATCCGCCATCCCCACCAGGACAAGTCCGCTGCCGTGCAGAAGAAGGCCTACAAGCTGCTCGCATCGTTGCTGGAGGTGTGTTCCGTGCTTGCAAGGGGAGGTGTGTTCCGTGCTTGCAAGGGGAGGTGTGCATGTGCTTGCAAGGGGTGGTGTGCATGTGCTTGCAAGGGGTGGTGTGCATGTGCTTGCAAGGGGTGGTGTGCGTGTGCTTGCAAGGGGTGGTGTGCATGTGCTTGCAAGGGGTGGTGTGCATGTGCTTGCAAGGGTTGGTGTGACTGTGCTTGCAAGGGGTGGTGTGCATGTGCTTGCAAGGGGTGGTGTGCATGTGCTTGCAAGGGGTGCTCCTGTAATACTGAGGCAATACTGAAGCCTATGCCACGCCCATGCTTGTGCCCATGCTTGTGCCCATGCTTGTTCCCCTCCCATGATTTTTCAAGCGGCATAGCCTATGAGACGCACCATGTAGGAGATTGTGCTCTCGTATGAGACGCTCAACACAGTCTCCTCACTGACATTTGAGTCGACTCAAAGGTCACCTCATTAGTCTTCTCGTATGTGGCGCGTATGTCTGTTCCCAGTGGCGCGTATGTCTGTTCCCAGTGGCGCGTATGTCTGGTCCCAGCGGCGCGTTTGCCTGGTCCCAGTGTTTTTCCAGTGTACCCATAGACTCATCGACCATTTGTTGCTGCTGTTGGGTGGAGATAATAACCAAGCCCAATAGAGATTTTCCTAAGACTGTTTTGTCACACTGTTAGCATAGGCGTATGTCACAGATAATGGCACACCCGCCCGTCCATGCGTCCTTCTTAAGTCAGCAATTAGAGGGAGCAGCAGAGGGAGAGCCATCCTGCTGCTCCGTCTGATTGCGGGAGAGCCGGTAGCCAAGGCAGTGTTGGAGGAATTTATGATGGCAATGGGCGGCGCGGGGTTCACTCATCATCCACACACTACCCCCTCAAGGGCTAACCCGCCAGGCCGTCCCCCCCCCCCCCCCCCCCCCCCCATCCCCTTTTGCTCCATTCTCACCTGCAGACCCACCCGGGGTTCCTGAGCCAGCAAGCAGAAGGGAGCTTGTTGGCCAAGGTGGTGCTAGAAGAGCTGATGATGGCGATGGCTGTGATGCACTCGTCCTCCCGGCTCTACCGCCTCAAGAGCCACCCTCTCCCTCCCCTCTCCCCCCTTCCCTATGCTTACTCTTTCCCTCGTCCGCACCTGCACTGCACTGCACTGCACTGCAGACGCATCCGGAATTCCTGAGTCAACAAGCAGAGGCAGGGCCGTTGGCAAAGGCGGTTCTAGAGGAGCTGATGATGGCGATGGCTGTGGTGCACTCGTCCTCCCGGCACTACCGCCTCAAGAGCCTGCACTGCGTGCTGCTGCACCTGGCGCACTCCGATGCTGCGGCATTCCAGGAGGCAGTGGCTGCCACGCTCACCGAGACGGTGCTGTCAGTGAAAGAGGTGAGCGAGACGGTGCTGTCAGTGAAAGAGGTGAGCGAACGGGTGCAGTAGCCGTAGCTACTGGTTCCAGCAAGCAGTAGTTGCCACGCTGACTGAGACAGTCGAGGACCGGATCCAAGGACCCGATCCAAAGACCCTACTCGACACACGACCCCTTTTTTTCACTCTCTAACCCCCCTCCCCCCCCCTTCCCCGCCCCCCGCCTCAGTAGTACTTCTTCGGGTTGTCCCTCCCCTTGCTCCCGCTCTTGCACTCCTACCCCCGACACCCCCACCTGCATGCCCTCCCCCTAGGTGAACTGTAAGGCACACGATGCAGCGTACCAACTCCTCATAGCCATCACCAAAGAGATTCAGCGACTGGCGGACGAGCAGCACGAGCAGCAGTACACTCACTCCCTCCCTCCCCCTTCCCCCCTGCACTCTACTTTCCTCCCCGCAGGTGAACCGCAAGGCACGGGACGCAGCCTACCAGCTGCTGATAGCCATCGCCAAGGAGATGCAGCGACTGGCGGACGAACAGCACGAGCAGCGGTTTATGGGGGGGGCTACTGTCTACGGCGGCTTCAGTGGCGACCTGCCGATGGAGGCAGGCGCTGCTGGTGATGATGCGGATTCGCCCTTCCTCAAGTTCTTCACCATGGTTCGTTTTCTTTTGTTTTCTGCTTTTTTTCTCAATTGCCCCCCCTATGCTACCACGTCCATGCTCCCACATGCCATCCTCCACCTGCGCTGCTTTTGAGCCGATGACGCACACGGCGTGCAATGTCACTGTGGCAGTATGGAATGCAATGCAGTGATGGTGATGTGCCGGTGGCGGTGTCGGTGCCGGTGCCGGTGCCGGTGCCGGTGCCGGTGGCGGTGCCGGTGTCGGTGCCGGTGGCGGTGTCGGTGTCGGTGGCGGTGGCGGTGGCGGTGGCGGTGGCGGTGGTGGTGGCGGTGACAGCATGGAATGCAGCAAGGGCCTGCGCGCCTGACCTTCCACTTCTCCTCTCATGTAGGCAATCACCAATTCCACTTCTGACGGTGTGCGGTAATGACCTGTTCCAGTTTTTCCCACTCCCAACACCCCCCCTCCGCCATATTGCAGGTGATGGCAGGCCTTGCAAGCTCAACCCCCCATGGTCAGAGCGCAGCAGTGATGGCCCTAGCGCGCCTCATCTTCCACTTCTCCTCCTCCCTGCTCCACCTTGTGCCCTCGCTCCTCCCCTCGCTCCTCCTCCTCTTCCGCTCGCCCCACCGCGACGTCATCAAGGCTTGTCTCGGCCTGGTGAAGGTGCTATCTGTGCGCCTGGAGGCAGAGGACCTAGAAAACCACCTGCAGGCAATCATGACTGCTTTGCTCTCCACCAATGAGATGACAGCAACGAGATTTAAAGCCAAGGTATTGAGGCCTGGTGTGTAAACCCGTATGGCAGCAACAACACACAACACACAACATGTGGACCTTCCTCTCGTGTCTCCATCCCACACTCCCCTTGCCCTCACCCTGGCCATCGCACCACATCATATAATGCTGGTTTTGAGACATCTCAAAACCAATCGTATAAACCCATATGGCAGCAACAACACACAACATGTGGACCTTCCGCTTGTGTCTCCATCCCACACTCCCCTTGCCCTCACCCTGGCCATCGCACCACATCACTCCCCCACTACCCTCTCCCCAGGAGCGCAAGATAGTGCCATGCGTGGCGCGCGGGTGTATAAACCCGTATGGCATGCCACGCACCATGGCATCTGCCTCTTATGTCCCTCCACCCTCCTCGTTTCCCTCCACCCTCCTCGTTTCCCTCCACCCTCCTCCTTTCCCTCCACCCTCCTCCTTTCCCTCCACCCTCCTCCTTTCACTCCACCCTCCTCCTTTCCCTCCACCCTCCTCCTTTTCCTCCACCCTCCTTATTTCCCTCCACCCTCCTCCTTTCCCTCCACCCTCCTTATTTCCCTCCACCCTCCTCCTTTCCCTCCATCCTCCTCGCTTCCCTCCATCACTCCTATTCTTCTCACTGCTTCACTCTGCCCTCCCCCCCTCCTCTCTCCCCTCAGGTGCGCAAGATCGTGCAGCGCTTGGTGCGGCGGTGCGGGCACGGCACTATGGCTGTGTCAAGCACCCCTCTCACCTGTCCGCATAACACCTCTCTCTTGCCTCTACCCCTTCCCCCATGTCACATCAGGTGCGCAAGATCGTGCAGCGCTTGGTGCGGCGGTGTGGGCACGGCACCATGGCTGCTGTGGTGCCGGAGGAGCATCAGCGCCTGCTCACACACATTCGAAAGGTGAGAGGCAGACAGGATAGACCGTAGAAGGGTGTGTCGCATTCGAGAAGTGAGAAAGGTCCGCACAGAGCGGTGGCACCGTGGCTGCGGTGGTGCCGGAGGAGCATCAGCGCCTGCTCGCCCACATCCGCAAGGTGAGCCACGTCAGCAAGGTGACACGTCAGAAAGGTGGTGCATCAGAAAGGTGACCCGTCAGGAGGTAACTGCCAGCATGGCACACAGCAGCTTCTCAGTGTGAACCCTCCCACAACCCAAACCAAACCCTCTCCCCCCCCCCCCTTCCTTGTCCTCCCTTGTGGCATCGGCAGGAGGTGGCTCGGGCTGTCACAGCAAAGGAGAAGAGGAGAGGAGGAGGGAAGGGGGGCTAGCAGGCAGGGAGGGAGCAAGGGGCGGGTCCCTTGAACTCTTATTCATCGTCCTGATTCATCCTCTTGATTCTTCCTCCTGTTCCCTTTGCGTGCCAGGAGGTGGCTCGGGCTGCCAAGGCCAAGGAGAAGAGGAGAGGAGGGAAGGGGGGTTCGCAGGCAGGGGATGAAGAGGAGGGGGGAGACGGGCGGTCGACCATGTCTGGACGAAGCATGGCCAGGTGAGTAGTTCTGTGGGTGCATATGGGGAGGGGGGGTGGTGAGGGGGACTCATGAGTCGATTCAAGTGGCACAAAGGCGAGGAGGGGGGCTTTCTGAGTGCCGTGCAAAGGCGCTTTGAAGGCATCGGCAGCGCTGCTTCTCGCCTCCACTCTTGAGCTCTCCGTGCGCCTGCCTCCTCTCCATCCTGTCCCCTCCTTCCCCTCCCACCAACTCTCCCCCCCCCCTCTCCCCTCTCCCCTCTCCCCTCTCCCCTCTCCCCTCTCCCCTCTCCCCTCTCCCCTCTCCCCTCTCCCTCTCCCCTCTCCCCTCTCCCCTCTCCCCTCTCCCCTCTCCCCTCTCCCCTCACCCCTCTCCCCTCTCCCCTCTCCCCTCTCCCCTCTCCCCTCTCCCCTCTCCCCTCACCCCTCACCCCTCTCCCCTCTCCCCCTCCCCTCTCCCCTCTCCCCTCTCCCCTCACCCCTCTCCCCTCTCCCCTCTCCCCTACCACCCACAGAACGAGTGACTGGAGCCACTCGAATCTCTTCTCCGACACGTCAGCAGACGGCGACTTCAGTGATGACGAGGATTACAGCGATGCTGACGAGGACGAGCGCAGCGTGTTCGGCGGCAAATCACGCGCCGCCAAGTCAGCGTCCCGGCAGGAGGGTTCCAAGAAGTCTGTGTGGTCTCACGCCCTCTCATCCAGGTGCTGACGTGGCATGGGGTGCTTTAGTGATGATTGGTTCTCTGGCCATCGCCATTGCAACATGACAGCACAACATGACAGCACAACATGACAGCATTCCACCTTACAATCCTGCCCTTAATCCCACAGTAAAATCCTGCTCTTTTGCCATCCACCTTTCTCCTTGGCCTTTTTTTCCCTTCTCAATCCTTCTATTTTGCCCCGTCTTTTTTTTTATCTCCATCCTCTATCCTTTCCCCCTCACTCACACCCTCTCTCCCCCTGACCCCTCCCTGCGACCTCTCCCTCCAGGGCCGGCAAGAAGGCCCACCAGGCCCCTGCGCTGCAAGAGCGCATCACGGACCCCCCTTTCTCACTCCTCTCCCCCCCTCCCCGCTGGATTCTCCTCTCCTCCCTCCCATCTCGCTCTCTCTCTCTCACCCTCCAGGGCCAGCAAGAAAGCCCAGCACCTCAGGCCGCAGCTGCAGGAGCGCATCACAGAGACAAGTGCTTCAATCCCCTCTTGGCTCTCCCTCTCCATTCGCCCTCCTCACACCCTCCTTGCTACTTCTCCCCCCCCGTCCCGTTTCTCCCTCCAGGGCTAGCAAGAAGTCCCAGCACGCAAGGCCGCAGCTGCACGAGCGCATCACGGAGACAGGTGGCGACGCGCCATTGGATCTCCTCGACCTCTCAGGCACGCGCCGAGCACTCTCCGCCCCCCTGCTCAAGACCGCCCGAGGAAGCACTACTTCTGCTGCTGCTGGTGCTGCTGGGGGTGGGAAGCGTCGGCGCGATCGGGGCAATGATGAGGGGGAGGAGGGTGAGGACTCGGGTTTTGATTACGCTGAGGATGGAAGGATTGTTGTTCCTGATGAGACAGAGGGGGATGGGGGTGGGGGAAGTGGGAGGAGGAGAGGAGCAAAGGGGGGAGTGGACACAGGGGGGGATGATGGGGACGGGAACCTGGACTATGGGGTTATGGAGGATGATGATGCGGCGATGGGCGATGCCAGCCTGGCGGCGGCGAGAGCTGCTGAGCTGGCGTTTGGCCGACGGGCAAGAGGCGGCGGGGAGGGGGGTGGAGGAGTAGCAGCAGCAGGAGGAGGAGAAAGAGGGGGAGGAGGAGGAGAGGGGGGTGGTGGTGGGAGGAAGAAGGCAAAAGCAAATTCCGGTCAAGCCATTGCTACTGGTAAAGATAAAAGAGGCGGGAAGAAGCAGACGGGGAGTGGCAGTGGGTGGGCTTATACGGGGGATGAATACGCTGCTGGCAGTGGCAGGCGGGCGGGTGGCGATCTGAAGAAGGAAGGGAAGCTGGAGCCGCACGCATACTGGCCGTTGGATGCAAAGATGCTCAATCGGAGGGCTGGGAAGCTGGCAGCAGCGAGGAGGGGGATGACCAGTGTGATGGGCCCGGGGGGGAGGAAGGGGAGCGGGGGAGGGGGAGGGGGGGTGGGGGGAAGGGCGGCGGGGGGAAGAAGCAGAACAAGGGGCATAAGGGGCAGGGGAAGGGGAAAGGGAAGGCGTAGGGTGAGATGAGAGAACAACTCTTCTGAGCTTCGGCTTGGACTTGGGATGCGGCTATGCGGCATGTCCCTTTTTAGTCACACTGGCCAGTCGGTATGTGTTCTTGGACATGGTCATCACAGTTAACATGTGCTGCTGGCAGGCAGAGGTTTACAGTGCCGTCCTAAAACGTCCAGTCCCGTATATGAGGGAATATGGTACTGTATTAGCCATGGATTTAGTGCCATTTCTTGTTTTGGTCCTGTACCTAGGGGAACACAATACATGCTACGTTCCTACGAAAAGAAAATGCTTGAAGGAACCGATTTGTGGTTCTGAGTATGCACGATCCAACAACATGAATTATGCACCCAATCTACCGAGTCGAACCATTTGAAGGTTGAATACCACGTCTGCATCATCCGTTTCATTTTTGGGTTGCGGAGCAACCTATTACGATCGATTTTGCCGAATTTTTTTTTCACTCAAAAGTTTGGATGGAAAACCTTTGCACAATAAAATATGACCTGCAGTTTTTGTTCTCTTCCTATGAATGTAACAAAATGCTAGAGGTGTTTATTCTATGATAGGAATCAAATGCATATATTTTGAAATAATATTTGCATTATATTTGGTTGATTTCTGGTGTACTGTGAAATTTTGGCAGGCCTCTTGTTTGATTGAATCACATCGTTGTGGACAGATCCAATCGAGTCGTGCAAGAAAATTCATGTCATCATTCATGACATGATTTTTTTTTTTTTTAATGATTATGTGACAGTGAAAAACTCAAACTCTAAGCTACCGCTTCCCCAGCGCTAGCATGGGGGGGAAATCAGCAAGCCTAGTGTCTGAATGATGGAGCAACGCAATCTGTAATGTCCAAAAAAAGAACCAAAACCTAACAAATCCAGTTCGAGACAGAAACTCAAGGAGCTTCTTAGAAACTTAGGACTCAAGGTTCTTAAACTTAGGAGGCTAGGTTGGCTAGAATACTAGGAAGAAGGCCGCCATGGAATGGCGTGAGGAAAACGGATCTAGGAAGGGAGAGAATGTCGAGAAGAAAGGGTGTTTGATTAGGAAGAGAGAGGAGTACAAGAAGGGGTTTGTACCCTCTACAGAAAGGTTCAGTAACAACCTACCAAGCCTATATTAAATTATAACTTATATAATTTTAACACACCCCTTAGGCTTGGTAGTGTCAAGCCCACGCACACCCCCACACTCACACCCACACCCACACCCCCTAGCCCAGCACCCCCATTCCCAGCAGGAGCCGAAACGACTCCGGAAGAGGGTAGGTCTCACGGCCCCTTGAGACGGCAATGGCGGCAGCAGCGACAGTGACGACAGCGGCGGCGGCGGCGGTGTGCGGCGGCTCCAGGCCTGCGGCAACAGCGGCGGCGCCGGGGGCTCGAACGACAGAGGCTGGTGCGGCGGCCCCCGCCCTCTCGGTGGCATGTCCTGTCTCCTCGGCGGTGGAGAGGTCCCTCACATGGCAGTCATCGGCTGCAGCAAGAAAGGGGGGGATGCAGGGGAAGCAGGTGCAGGTGGGGGGGGGAGGGGAGGGGGCGGGGCGAGGCGAGTCTTCAGCGACGCGCCATAAATGGCGCGGCGCTTACTGGCGGGAGGACGTCGTTCTGAGGGACGCCCGTCTGTGGCGAGCGGGCGGCAGGCCCGGCGACGCCACAGACGTCGCTCGGCCGGCCGCAGCCCGACGATGCCGTCGGCTGCCGCAGACGCCGCCACAGCGCACCGTCAATGTCGCAGCGGCGAGGCGGACGGGCGACGGCTGCACCAAGGGGCCGTCGCGACACCTTGGCGCCACGATGGTAGGCAACGAGGGACCGTCGCGACATCTTGGTGCCGCGACGGCAGGCAACAAGGGGCCGTCGCGACATCCTGGCGCCGCGACGGCAGGCAACAAGGGGCCGTCGCGACAACTTAGTGCCGCGACGGCAGGCAGGCAGAAAACCGCGAAGGTTGCGAATGCAGTAGGAGTACGCAACGGGAACGTAGGGAGAGGGTCTGGTGGACACGACCGGCTCTGATACCATCTTAGAAACTTAGGACTCAAGGTTCTTAAACTTAGGAGGCTAGGTTGGCTAGAATACTAGGAAGAAGGCCGCCATGGAATGGCGTGAGGAAAACGGATCTAGGAAGGGAGAGAATGTCGAGAAGAAAGGGTGTTTGATTAGGAAGAGAGAGGAGTACAAGAAGGGGTTTGTACCCTCTACAGAAAGGTTCAGTAACTTATATAATTTTAACAGAGCTCGCCTGTGAACCGTTTGTGATTTGATAAGCATGCTTTCTTTTTTCGAAATACAGACATACATTGCTGTGGATCGAGAATGAGAGCAAATAACAGCAGCAAGACACATCAGGCCAAACACAGGACGCCAGCAATGATAAGAATATAAAGCTGAAAATGAGATAATTGAACATCCCAACGAATTACAGCAAAACGCCGTAGGGAACTCATAAACGCGTTTACAAGAAAACCTGCACAAAATTAAAGTGGATATTATATTAGGCATTGCGTATGAAAGGAGTGAACAACAAGCAGCTAGGGCGAGAACGAATGGGCATGGGAAGTTAACACAAAATGTGATGGTGAAAGGAAAGAGACGAAGAGAGAGAAGTTGAAAGAGAGGTAGAGAGAGGCAGAGAGGGAGAGAGAGAGAGAGAGAGAGAGAGAGAGAGAGAGAGAGAGAGAGAGAGAGAGAGAGAGAGAGAGAGAGAGAGAGAGAGAGAGGTAAAACGACATGCAAGGAGGGGGGAGACGGCGGGCAAAGAAGTGGTTACGACGGATTAGGAGGGTGAAAAGGCGGGCAAAGGAGAGGGGAAACGACAGATGAGAATCCGTACCGAGTACCTAAGCTGAAAGAGACCATTTACGTTTCCTCTACTAGCTTGAGGAAAAAACGAGAGAAGAAACATAGAGAAACCAGTAAGATACGACTACACGAAAATGTCATCAAGCCACTCTTAATGCCGACCTGGAGTAGTCTGTCGTACAGCTGCGATAAGAAAAGGCAGTCGTAGCTGCTGTCATGTTGCTGCCTAATCACCAGATCTAGAATCACGAATTGCTGGAAGTGGGGAAGAGAAAAACGTGAGACAGAAGTATAGAGGAGGAAGAATCGAGCATAAGGAATTCACGTTTCTGCAGCTCTGAACTCGCAAGCAGAGAAGGTGCGTTCAAACAGCCGCGGTTTTGCAGCTCTGAAAGAAGATTTGTTTTTTTCTCGGTCAGAAAGTGCCCCATCGCACTGAAATTCGCGTAATCGTGTTATTTAACCGAAACTAGCGGTAGTGTAACTCAGAAATTCGAGTGTGTAACGCGTAATGCATCCAGTGGCGAGCTCGGGGGTTTTGCCTCTTATTGACGGGAAAAAAATCAGCATTCTGTGGCGAGTGTTGCTAGGCTGGTGTCATTGCCACGTCGGATTATATTTCCGTCTGGCAGTTACGCGTGACGAACCTCGCCACTGGGAAAAAAATAACAGCATTGCCAGGTGGCCAGATTCGCTCGCCACAAGTCAACAGTGGCCACAGTCAACAAATAATTAAACAAAATGAAAACGGAAACTCCCGACGGCTGGGCATTTGGCGGAAAGGTTAAAAAAAAAAACAATCCAAACGAACGCAAAACAAAAGAAACATTACGGAAACAGGTCTACAGTTGAGCAATAAGGAACAAAACTATTCAAGAAACTGTACAAGCAGAAACGAACAACAAAAGAAACTAGTTCCAACAGCGTGGCACGATTTAAGAACAGTATCGGACGATGAATAACTTAAAGCCCATTTATATATAGTGTAAAAAATGTAGAAACTCAATGATATGTCCTACTTGTATTAGATGCATTAACATTGTGATTGCATGTACTTTTATTAATGCACTGTTGGAAATATCTCAAAGGACTTGAGCGTTTCTGAAGTGTAACACTGTACTCGAGGAAGATTACAGGGGAGCACGCGAGTCAACGGAGGTTACACGAGGGGGCGGACAAAGAATGCGAAAAGACTCGAAAGGTCGCAACTGGAGGTTGCGACTGACCGTTACAACATCACGGATGGTAACCGAAGCGGCAATCGAGTCGCTGTGCGACTCGATAAACCGTTCCTGTAACTGTATTCTACAACTGCCTTCCTATCTTCTATATATTGCTGTATGCTTGTTTCTTTAATCAATCACTTGTTCTCACATACTAGTACAAGGGTTCAACTGCCTCAACTTCCGCTGCACTACTCAAGTCTCATTCTACAACTGAGACTTAGTATCTGGAAAGATCCTAAAGGGCTTTTCTCAGCCCAACATGGTATGAGAGCTGGTCAGAGACCAAACTCCCAGCAACTACGCTCCATCAACAACCTGCAACTCAATTCAACGACTTCATTGATTACAAGACATGGACAGCAAGGGCAAGAAGGTCTCTACGGGCTCACCCAGCGGCCAAGAAACTCAACACGACAACTTTGGTCTGCAAACCTCAGGACTGCAGACAGAGACCGGGACTGCTCAAGAAACAACGGGAAGAGTACCAGAGATGGTGACTCCATCTCCCTCTTCAAGCGTGGACCCCAACCTTATGGAAAGGTTCTTCAGCTTCATGTCGCACTTCGACCAGCAGCAGCAGACAAGGACACCTGCGCATTCAACACAAAGCAATGGAGGAAACATGGGATTAGCGCCGATGAGCCTCGACAACTCATCGTTTGGGCGACACAATCAAGCGCCTACCTTTGCGCCTTATCACTCTTCACCGGGGACGTTCGAGTTTATGCCGCCCCGTGCCCAACCAACAGCAGCTGCATCACAACAAACACCAAACGAAATCTTAAGTCTCCAGGCGCAGTTCTCGCACGTGATAAAACTGCAGACATCCTCACCGTTCAACGGACACGACTTCTTTACCTGGAGCTTCGAGTTCGAGCTGCTGATGGAGGCCGCGCATCTTCTCGGATACTTCAACGGGTCCCTGCCATTCCCAAGAACCGGCACTGCAAAGGAACAAGAAATCTTCACGTATCAGTCGCTGCTGGCGTATACGGTTCTCCTGAGAAACCTGTCACCACAAGAACAGCAGAGCATCAGAACATACAGGAGCTATGGAAACTCCGCGGAGCTCGCATGGCACCATCTCAAATGCCTTTACCAAGCAAACGACAGCATGACACAAAGCAGACTCATGCAACAACTGACAACAATACAGATGAAGACCGGGGAAAAGGCAATGCAGTATATGAGTCGCTGCCAGACCCTCCGCGACCGCCTGCTTCGGTGTGGAGGAACAATCACTGAAGAAAGCTTCGTGACACTTGTCCTCGCCGGGCTCGGGCCAGAATGGAGAACCACACGATCGCTTCTTCGCGCCCACGGAAGAATTTCGGAGATGCACCTCTGCGCCGAGCTTCACGCTGAACAACAGGAGATGGACCTGTTCGAAGAAAGACAACCAAGAAAACAACAGCAGTTAGTCTTCTACACTCAACGAAGAAATGACAACACCTACAATCGACGCGGCAAGCAAGAACGCGACAACAGGGGACTTACCTTCGTGCCGCCATTCTGCCACAACTGCCAGACTTCCGGGCACTCCAAGGTCAACTGCAACCGCCCTCGCGTTTACCGTCCAGCAGACCCACAAGTCGCTTCCACTCAAGCAAGTCCCCCAAGGCGCTCTTCAACATCTGCACAACAAACACCAAACATTATCAATTGCATGGTACACATCGACAACTGCGCACCCGGATCACCACTCACCTACGCGCCAGACGAAGAAGAGATGCCGCCACCGCGCTCACAAGGCCTTCAAGTCAATCCAACATATGCTGCGGTCGCCAACGCCGAACCCACCGGGCGAAACACCTGGTTCTTGGACAGCTGCTGCGGTCAACACATGTGCTCCTCGGGACGCTTCGTGCAACAGGAGAAACGCCTCAACCGCGACGTCGTCATCACCGTCGCCAACAACGAAAACCTGAAGACAAACAGACAAGGCGTGGTTCAGTTACAATCCATGGAGACAAACGTCATACTTCAGCTCAACAAAGTGCTCATTGTCGACAATCTGGGATACAACCTACTAAGCGTAAGCCAACTAATGGCCAAGGGGATTCACCTGGAGTGCGACTCCTACTCCAACGAGTTTCGGCTTTACCACGGGAAGGGCGGCCTCTTCATCGGTCGTGCCCTCCTGAAGTCCGGCGTCTTCGTGTTGGACTTCGTCCCCGACCGCGGTACTGCCGACAACGACGGTATCGTATCGTTCGCCGCCTGGACTCACCCGCCAGATCTTGATCCTGACTTCGACAGTGACGGCTTCTGGCACTCCAACACCATACCTGCAGCAGAGAGAACACGAGCATTAGCAGTTATCAGACAAGAAAGACAAGTACCCGCAAGTATCCCAACCAAACCATCACCTGCAGTATCGGCAGCAGGACCCAGCCGAGTCCCACCACCAGCGACCCGAGGACCGCCAACCGAAGCAGACCAGCTTATGCCCATCACACGAGAAGTTTGTCGAAGTCCCGCCTCAGTCGTCGCGTTCTTCTCCAACGCCAACATCTACCACCGCTCGCCCGGTCATCGCGCTTCCGACGACATCTGGCACCAACGTCTCGGACATCCTGCAAATAGCACGATACTACAAACAATCCAAGCAGAGGTGTTAGAACGCAACGCCCTTCTAACGACGAGCGGCCAAGAACTTCGACGACCACGAGCACGGTGCTTCACGTGCCCCGAAGCAGATCTTCCTCATCAACCTTTCCCATCTCATCACAACCCAAGCGCACCTACTTACGCTCCGATGGAAAAGGTCTACAGCGACATTTTAAACATGCCTCGAGAAGACACCGAAGCCGACTTCAACTACCTCATCACGTTCATCGACGCAGCAACCAGATACGTTTGGCACTTCAATCTCAAAACGCGCGATCAAGCCTTCGAGGCCTTCACCACATGGCTTCCCATCGCCGAACGAGAATCAGGAACCAAGCTCAAGAGCTTCCAGTCAGACGGTGCACTGGAATACCAGTCACAACGCTTCAGGACCTATCTGGCGGAAAGAGGAATCCGACGCCTGGTGTCTCTGCCCTATGCTCACCAGCAGCAGGGGGTAGCAGAACGCATGAACCGGACCTTGCAGACGACGATGCAAAAACTGCTTCTGGGGATGAGGCTGCCCACCACACTGTGGCCAGACGCGATGACACATGCCGTTCACCTTCACAACCTGCTGTCCTCGTCATCACTTCCCAACAACGCATCACCGCACTTGTTGTGGACAAGAAAAAGGGGCAGCACAAAATTACTCCGAGTTTTCGGCTGCATGGTACAGTACAGACCCCACACAGCCCGAGCAGGACGCTTCACACAACGAGCTAGGTGGGGACTACACCTCGGCATCGGAAAACATTTTCACGCGTGGAAAATTCTCGACATACAAGACAAAAATACCGTGGCATCACGTGATGTTATTTTCTACGAGCGACTGACGCTGCAGCATTACCTGGACAACATTGCCAACACACAAGACCCCACCGACGGCTTCTCGGGACTTCGTTCCTTCGCCGACCGTGCTGCCGAAGCTGACGTAGCAGAAGAAGACGTACCTGAAGCCTCGGAAACTGCCGGACCACTCCCATTCTGTTCCGTACCTGTTCCACTCGACGAAGACAATCCTCTCGATAGCAACAACCTCGACACCTTTTACCACTTCGCTGACCAAGGTTACATTACACCCCACCCAGTCGACACAAATGTTTCAGAACGCATCGGTCCCAACTTCTTACCTGACCCAGAAGACGGTGACGAAGCAGCTTATTCCGGGAATGAAAATTCCCCTCGACACACACCCACGGGACTGCAGATTCTAGGCCTCTGGGTCTCCGTCCAGCATCCGCCGCCGCCTTCTCCGCGAGAGCCTTCAACCTTGTCGCAGGCTCTGGGGGGGGAACATAAGGCGAAATGGAAGGAAGCGATGGAAAAGGAGTTAAAGGCTCTGCAAGACCGGAAAACATGGAAACTGGTACCTGCAACAAGCATCAACGGAAAAAACGTCCTCTCAGGGAAATGGGTGTACCGCATTAAAACCAACTCAGACGGCTCCATCGAACGATTCAAATCTCGATGGGTCGTACGAGGCTTCGATCAACGATACGGGACCGACTACACAGAAACCTTCGCTCCAGTCTCCCGTCACACCTCATTACGCATCCTACTCGCCGTCGCGGCCACGAAGACATTACCACTACGCCAAATCGACGTCGCAAATGCGTTCCTATATGCGCCTGTGGACGCAGAGATTTTCGTCGAACAACCCCACGGATTCATCAACGACCCCACGAAAATATGCCAACTGACAAAATCCCTATACGGGATCAAGCAAGCCCCGCGGCTCTGGCAGCAGCATCTCCACGGTCGTCTCGCAAAAATCGGATTCCTACAACTGCCGCATGACCAAGGGATGTACCGACTGCAGAAGGGAAGAGAGTATATCCTACTCATCGTCTACGTCGACGACCTGCTCTACATCGGCTCCACTACCGACATCGCTACCTGGTTCGAAGGGGAGCTGAAAGAAGACTTAACACTCACGGTGTCCGACGAAGTGACCCAGTACCTAGGACTGAATGTCGTCGAAGACGACACGGCGTTCTACCTACACGCTGGAAAGTACTCAGGCACCATCGCGAAGAAATTCGGTCTAACACCGACTACGGTCCCAACTCCCTACCGCTACGGGAACAACAACAGCACCTCCGCAAAACTCCCCGCGAAGCAAATCCAGGAGTATCAACAGAAGCTCGGCTGCCTACTGTTCGCAGCAGTAACCTGCCGACCCGACCTGTCCTATAGTGCGAGCCAACTGGCGACGCATCTGAAGCAACCGGAACAGGAAGATCTCGAGGAGCTCAACCGGGCACTACTCTACTTCGTCTCCACGCCGACGATCGGACTTACCTACAGCAAAGCGACAACACCGTCCATACGACTACTCGGATACGTCGACGCCGACCACGCGGGAGATAGGGAAAATCGACGATCTAGGACGGGCTATATCTACCGACTAGAACCCATCGGAACTATCTCCTGGCAGTCGAGCAAGCAGGAGTTAATCGCACTATCCTCGGCTGAAGCAGAGTATATCGCCCTTTGTACTGCGACCAAGGAAGGACTCTACCTACGGGAGTTACTCGAGGAAGCGAAGATTGCGACCCTGCCCGCCTTCTCACTCCTCTGCGACAACCAATCTGCGATCAAAATCGCGAACAAGGACGGCTTCGCCAACCGAACCAAGCACATCGCCCTGCGGTACTTCTTCGTCAAGGATGAAATCGCGAAGGGGAGACTTCAACTCAGTTACTGCCCAACGACAGAAATGGCCGCAGATTATCTGACGAAGAAATTGGCGAAAGCAAAATTCGACTACTGCATGCTCCTGACCTGGCAAACAAACGTCACCAGATCTGAACATTCCAGCACTCCAGAAACGAAAGGGAGTGTTGGAAATATCTCAAAGGACTTGAGCGTTTCTGAAGTGTAACACTGTACTCGAGGAAGATTACAGGGGAGCACGCGAGTCAATGGAGGTTACACGAGGGGGCGGACAAAGAATGCGAAAAGACTCGAAAGGTCGCAACTGGAGGTTGCGACTGACCGTTACAACATCACGGATGGTAACCGAAGCGGCAATCGAGTCGCTGTGCGACTCGATAAACCGTTCCTGTAACTGTATTCTACAACTGCCTTCCTATCTTCTATATATTGCTGTATGCTTGTTTCTTTAATCAATCACTTGTTCTCACATACTAGTACAAGGGTTCAACTGCCTCAACTTCCGCTGCACTACTCAAGTCTCATTCTACAACTGGGACTTAGTCTCTGGAAAGATCCTAAAGGGCTTTTCTCAGCCCAACATGCACTATAACACAAATCATCTATTGAATACTTACATAGTATATGTTTTAATCCATTGTTAGAAGTTTACAGATACTTATGCTTTGAATTTATACATATACATGCGGGTAATTTTAAACACAATAAATATATCTATTTAAAAATGCTCCGCAACCCTAAGACGATTGCGTCGTCTCTTGTTTTCTTTTTCATAATTAGATTTTGACAAATATTAGCAGTCGTCTGTTGGGACCAGAATCTGTGTGTAGCGCCGAAAACTCAGAGCTCTGTGGCTCCGCCTTCTGCGCTGATGGGGACAAGCAGGGCCATGTGTACAGTACCGTACATCCACTAGCCTTCACCTGAATTGTCATTCTTGTACGGTGATTGGTTCAGATTTCCTTGTTGTGTGCCGCTGTACGCGCTGCATCTGCGGTGTGAATTGGGGTGCCTTATTCCGACAGGGCTGCCCGAACAGTTCTTACGCTTTGTTTCGTACACGTTCAGTGGTTACCACTATTGTGGCGAAATTGGTGAGGTAAGTTTCTTGCTGACTGGGTCACGTTGCTGGTGTACAGAGCCGCGTTATTTGGACCATCTAAAAGTGGGGGCAGGGGTGGTACAGGCAAAATGTCACGAATGCGGACATGGTCCGCTTCCCGCCAGGTTACCCCGCCAGTTGCGTCAACCCGCATTCCCCGCAGCGCATTTCACATAAATTCCACAGGTTTCTCGGATCGCGCAGTATGGGATGTGGAGAGCAACATCCCGCGCGAAAGGTCCAAGTTCCGGCCTCCCCTCCCCTCACGATGCTTGTTCCTCCTCGTGGTGCATAAAAGCCCCTCAACTGGCAGCTTATGACAATCGGAGATACACGTACTCCATCGAGCTGCTTTCAGACCAATTCCAGTCCTCCTAACCACCACCTTCTGCCTCCAAGCCTCTGCGAACCAACGCCCTGCTTTCAGCACTCAGCATTCATTCACGGGTGCTGTCTAGTCGATCCGATGGCGCTGCAGCGTTACCTCGGCTTGTCGCTTCTTCTCTTAGTCATCGTCGGAGCAAACTACGGTGAGTGCCATTCTCAACTCCGCCTTCCCGATCCAAGCTCGCCTCCCCACTGCGAACCCATCCTCACCATTGCATCATCATGCCCTACCACTGGTGTTGGCGACACATGTGCCCACGGATGGCAACATATCGGAGCAGAGCCCCATCTTCACAATTCCTAAATTCAAAATATCAGTTCCCGTCTGTTCAACCAGTTCAATCCCATCACCTTGCCGCTGCATTCTGCTTCCGTCTGTCCCGTTACCATCCGTCGCAGCGACGGCGGTTCGCACCGGGCTAATCGATTTGAAGGGCAAGGATTCGAAGCATGGCGGAGGCCCCCCGGACGCGGGTGGACCGGGCGGAGTCGGCGAGACTGGCGGGGGGAAGGGCGGAGAAGGCGGAAAGGGCGGGAAGGACGGGAAGAAGGGACCGCCTGACGCGGGCCCGTGCCCGTTGCCCAAGCCGGAGGATGCTCAGGCTCTCGGGAATCTGACGGGTGAGCCTGCTTCTATCTGACGGTTTTAATCTCTCGGGAATACACCGCACGTTCCTCCGCGCCCGTGCCCGCTGCCATAACCGGAGGATGCGCAGGCGCTCGGGAACCTCTCCGGTAAGACCCGCCGCGCGGTCACTGTAACGAATTGAACGATCTTAAGAAACGCATTTGCCGACTAAATCTTGGCCGGCGTTCTTAGTGTGCAAACTAAGCGTCGTCACGACGGTCGAGATGACTCTGGGCCACACAGAGAAGCAAGCAGGGAATAAAGGAGACTCTAAAGCTGGGAACGAAGAAGCATCTAAGCCTACTAGGTTCCCAGCATCAAAAGCTGGGAACGAAGGAGACTGCCGAGTCGATTCAAATGGCGCATCTAAACCTACTAGGTTAGCCATTCTCCACAACCAGCCCTCTGCAACGCGCCCCTCTCCTCCGCGCCCCTCTCCTCCGCGCCCCTCTTCTCCGCCCTCCCCTGGCTCAGAGTGAAAGGAAGGGGCAACCCTTGCCGTCCTCCTCACTCAACCGTATCTTTTGCGCCCATAACCCCTTGCAGCGATCCTTGCGGCGCGCCTGAACGGATCCGAGGTGGTTGGGTCGACGGGCGACGTGAACGCTACCGGCCGAATCTGCCTCGCCGTCTTCCAGTGAGTCGTGTCGGCCGTCACGTTTTAGAATTCGGCCGTCATCCTCACTTTTAGAAAAGAGATCAGATCTGAAACCGCCATCCCTTGTTTCTCCGCTCCTAGTCGCCAATCCTGCCCCTACTCCCCTCCCGTCCTTTAAATCCGGTCGATTCTTGACGGAATCCGTCAGGCTTGACGGCGACTACAGCATCTTCTACAGCGTCGCCGTTTCCACCTCCGACGCCGGCGAGCCGACGGCCGCCTCCATCGGGCAGGGCGCGGCGGGAGAGGCGGGGACTACCGTCCTCGATATTGTCGCGACGGGAGACAGCGCCACGTGGGCGAATCTCACCCGTTCGCCGCCTCCTCCGCCTAAGAAGGGGAAGAAGAACAAGGGCGCGCAGCCCGCCCCCCCTCCTCTGAAATTCACTTATGGCACAAACGGGACGTGGCTTAACGCGAGTACCCTGACCACGTCGGGCGGGCAGACTTACAAGGAGCTGGTGGATGCGATTATAGCGGGGCCGGACGGCTACTATGCGGGGTTTGCGACTTCGGCTTACGAGTTTGGGGCAGCGAGGGGACAGTTCAAGTCGGAGCCTCTTCCGCCGCCGCCTAAGGGGAAGAAGGGAGGAGATAAGAAGGGGGGAGACAAAAAGGGCGGAGATAAGAAGGGCGGGAAGAAGGATGGGGAGTTTGACCCTGCCCTGGGCACTCTCGTTGGTAAGAACTGAGTACCCTCTCGCTGGGTGCACATCTCGCCGGGTGCACATCTCGCCGGGTGCACATCTCGCCGGGTGCACATCTCGCCGGGTGCACATCTCGCCGGGTGCACATCTCGCCGGGTGCACATCTCGCCGGGTGCACATCTCGCCGGGTGCACATCTCGCCGGGTGCACATCTCGCCGGGTGCACATCTCGCCGGGTGGACATCTCGCTGGGTGCACATCTCGCTGGGTGCACATCTCGCTGGGTGCACATCTCGCTGGGTGCACATCTCGCTGGGTGCACATCTCGCTGGGTGCACATCTCGCTGGGTGCACATCTCGCTGGGTGCACATCTCGCTGGGTGCACATCTCGCTGGGTGCACATCTCGCTGGGTGCACATCTCGCTGGGTGCACATCTCGCTGGGTGCACATCTCGCTGGGTGCACATCTCGCTGGGTGCACATCTCGCTGGGTGCACATCTCGCTGGGTGCACATCTCGCTGGGTGCACATCTCGCTGGGTGCACATCTCGCTGGGTGCACATCTCGCTGGGTGCACATCTCGCTGGGTGCACATCTCGCTGGGTGCACATCTCGCTGGGTGCACATCTCGCTGGGTGCACATCTCGCTGGGTGCACATCTCGCTGGGTGCACATCTCGCTGGGTGCACATCTCGCTGGGTGCACATCTCGCTGGGTGCACATCTCGCTGGGTGCACATCTCGCTGGGTGCACATCTCGCTGGGTGCACATCTCGCTGGGTGCACATCTCGCTGGGTGCACATCTCGCTGGGTGCACATCTCGCTGGGTGCACATCTCGCTGGGTGCTCCCTGACTCTCTATTGGTGGCACGTTAACCTTTCTCCCCCCCTAACCCTCCTCCGCTTCCGTGCCTCTTGTCTATCTTCCCCCCAGGTGTGGTGGGAGCGCGCCTCAACGGCTCTAATGCTGACCTCACTGCTGACGTCAACGCCACTGGATGCGTCTCGCTGGCTATCTTCCTGTAAGCTCCTCCCCACTCCCGCCCTCCCTCCTCCCCACCCTCCCCCCCCCCTCCCCTCCTCCCCACACCCCTCTCCCCCCAATTCTACCTCCCCCACCCAATTCTCCTTCCCAGCATCTCTACACCTCCTTTTGCTTCTGTCTCTCGCCCAGCATTCTGTTTTTTCTCCTTTCCCTCCTCCCCTTTTCTCCCTTACTTCCTCTCCCTCACTCACTTTTTCCTTGTCCTCTCCTCCCCTCCCTCCCGCGCTCTGCCCTCTCTCCTCCACAGCACCAACACGAGCGACGACTACAACATTCTTTACAACGTCGGCGTGACTCTAACGGACGCTGGCGAGCCCACCTCCGTTACCATCAACTCCGGTGCTGACGTCGCACTCACAGTGGACACCTCTGGCGCAACGTGGGCCAATCACACGCTATCAGACGCTGAGCGCGCCAAGCTGGGCGGCAAGCTGAAGCCCAAGGGAAAGAAGAAGCAGCCCCCTCCTCCTCCGCCTCCGATGGGCTACAGATACGAAATTACCGGCACTTGGCTAAGCGCCAGTACTTTGACAGCGGATAACGGGCAAACATACAAGGAGCTGGCTGACGCCATGCTGGCTGCTCCCGCCTCTTACTCTGCTCTCGTCAGCACTGCCGCCTTCTCCTCTGGTGCTGAAAGCGGTGTTTTTGCTAATGTCACCAAGGGCGGTGGTGACAGATTTGCCAAATTGGCCATCAAGTTGAGGGGTGATTAGCTGGGGTGGGATGGGGGAGGGTTGGTGATGTAGGAGGAAGTAGCTCGCAGATTCGATTAGTGGGGCAAACCACTTCTGCTATGTGTACGGGTTAGAGGACTAGAACAGGTACGCTGCTGTTGTGATTCTGGTTATTACTCTGTTGTATTCATATAATAATTCGTTAGTTAATCCTACCAACAGGATGTATCCTTGTGTGGCAACAGCTACCATACAACAGCCTCTTGGCAGGTCACATGGGTGAGAAAGGAGGAGTAAACATCAGGCTTGCACCCAGTGAATGGTTCCCCACAAAGCCCCAACCAAAGCAATAGCCATCTTCACCAAGGATTCTGTATTTGCTTCCACCTCCCGTGACATCTTTTGAGCCAACTGGGACAACTTTTCTGAGATGAGCGAACAACTCTTCTAAGCTTCGGCTTGGACTTGGGCTGCGGCTATGCAGCATGTGTCAAATTATATATATTATATATATACATTATATATATATTTGTTTAGGCTTGGTAGTTGTGCTACATTGCTAGGTCCTACTGTAGAGGGGACAACCCCCTTCTTGTACCTCTCTCTCTTTCCTAGTTTGTTGGAAATACCTCGAAGACTTAAGCGTTTCTGAAGTGTAACACTACACTCGAGGAAAGTCATATCGGGTACGCGAGTCAACCGAGGTTACACAAGGAGGTTGGACGAAAGAATACGAAAGGGCGAAGGGACTCGAAGGGTCGCAACCGGAGGTTGCGATTGATAGTTGCGACTGCAAGGGTGGTAACCGTCGCGCCCCTCCCAGGCCCCGTAGCGCCCCTCCTGGGCCCCGTCGCGCCCCTCCTGGGCCCCGTAGCGCCCCTCCTGGGCCCCGTCGCGCCCCTCCTTGGCCCAGTCGCGCCCCTCCTGGGCCCCGTCGCGCCCCTCCTGGGCCCCTGCAGCGCCCCTCCTGGGCCCCCCCGTCGCGCTCGCCCGGCCCCGTCGCACCAGCCCGGCCCCGTCCTGCTCGCCCGGCCCCGTCGCACCCGCCCGGCCCCGTCGCACCCTGCCCGGCCCCGTCGCAGCCGCCCGGCCCCGTCGCACCAGCCCGGCCCTGTCGCGCCCGCCCGGCCCCGTCGCACCGGCCCGGCCCTGTCGCCCCCGCCCGGCCTCGTCGCCCCTGCCCGGCCCCGTCGCGCTCGCCCGGCCCCGTCGCCCCGGCCCGGCCCTGTCGCACCAGCCCGGCCCCGTCGCGCCCGCCCGGCCCTGTCGCGCCCGCCCGGCCCCGTCGTCCTCGCCCGGCCCGGTCGCACCTGCCCGGCCCCGCTGCCCCGGCCCCGTCCTTCTCCCTGGTACGGTTCCCCCCCACCCTGCCTGCCCTGCACCGTACCGCCACGCACCACACTGTACTGCCTTACACCGCACTGCACCGCAATGCATCGCACTGCACCGCGCTGCACCGCACTGCACCGCACTGTACCGCACTGCACCGCACTGTACCGCACTGCACTGCACTGCACCGCCCTGCACCGCACTGGACTATTCCTGATGGCGGCGGAGCTTCGCTTCGACGCTGAAGGTCAGCCCCTAGAGTTCGAGACGTGGCTTGCCGACCTCCGCCGCCAACTCACTGGCCAGCGGCAGGATGGTGAACCGCTTTCCGCACACCTTGACGATACGCTCCCCTGCCCAGACCCCCCTGCTATTCTGCCCGCTGACCCCACACCCACTGAGCGTGATTCTACTGCTGCCACTGCCCGTGCGCGCTCTGTCTGGCTTTCTCGCGATGCTGTCGCCCAGCTTGCCATTAGCAACGCCCTCCCCCCGTCCGAGCGTCCTCGCTTTAGGTCCCTCACTACTGCTCAGGCATACTTAGATGCTGTCATCAAGCGCTATTCCACCCCTCCGGCTGCCTCGGTGGGTCGCCTGATCCTCCCGATGCTCTTTCCTGACCTTGCATCTTTCCCCACTGTCTCTGACCTCGCTGCCCACCTGCGCTCGATAGAGGAGACCTGGCGCGCCGCCTGCACTGACGCACAGCTTAGAGCCCACCAGCCGCCCATTACCTCTACCCTCTACCTGCTTGCCACCCGCCTCCCTGACCGCCTTGCTGTCGCCCGCGACCACTTCCTTAGCCTTCACCCTGCCGACCTCACCCTCACTGACTTTGTAGACACCCTGACTGTCATAGAGACCTGTCACCGCTCCATCGCCCAGGCGAGCGGTGTCGTGCCTGTCCCTATCTTTCAGGGTTGTGCCCCCGCCCAGTGTACCTTCTCCGACGGCTCTGTCGCAGTGGCTGAGACTGCTGCTGCAGCGCAGTTTCGTTCGGGGAAGGGCCGCCGCCCCAAGGTTGGGCGCGGCGGAGGCGGCGGCGGGGGTGCGGGAGGGGGTAGTGGTGGGGTCGGGTCGTCTGGTGCTGGAGCGGACGAGGGGACCCTGCCCAGTCCAGCTGAGCCGCCGCCCCTGCAGTTGCAGCAGCCGCATCAGTCGCCGCAGTCGCAGCCGTCGCAGCAGCCGCCGCAGCCGTCGCAGCCGCGGCAAACGAGTGTCCTCCCGCCCGGGTGGCCCGGCGCTGGCGGTGGCCGGGGGCGTGGTGGTGTGTCGAGTGGTAGCTCTGGCGGCGGGCACTGTCAGTACCAGCTCCAGACCGGTCCTCGCCGCGGCTTCGTTTGCGGTAAGCTCGGTCACTCCACTCTCCGCTGTTTTCGTCGTCTGGACGACCTCTTTCGTCAGCGCTTCGGCCCGTCGCCAGACCTCCCGGACTGGCACAGTTTGCTTAGTCGTAAGATTCAGATCTTTGATATGGACATGGATGCCATTGTTTCTGCTCTGCATGTGATGTATGCTGATGACTCTAGTGTGCTTCCCGCTTATTACTCACTGTTGCCTAGTGTAGGTGTGCCTAGTGTACCCTCCCCTGCTGCGTCAGGCATAGGATCCTCTGCTTTGTGTAGTCTTGGTGCTTCCGCCGTCGTTCCGTCGCCAGACGCCTCTGCTTCGCTTTCCTTCACCTTGGACTCTGGCGCTTCTCGGTGTTTCTTCCGCGACTCCACCACCCTGACGCCGCTTCCCGTTCCTGCTGCCGTTTCTCTCGCTGACCCCTCTGGCGGTCCGGTAGTCGCCCGCAGTTCCACCACCCTTCCCTGTCCGGCGGTTCCTTCGGGCTCTCTTACAGGTCTGCATATCCCCTCGTTCTCCAGGAGCCTAGTTGGTGTCGGCTGCCTCCAGGACCTTGGCGTCACCACTACGTTCCCTGGTCACGAGCGGTATGCTGTCTGTACCGAGGCCGCCACTGGTGCCCCCCTGTCCACGTTCCCCCGAAACCCGGTGTCCGGCCTGTTCACTCTGGACACCGTGACCCCCCCGGCTGGAGCGCTCACCCAGGTAGCTGCCGCCTGCTCCTGTTGGTCCCTCACTCACCCGACCCTCCTTTGGCACCACCGCCTAGGTCACCCTGCGCTCCCGCGTCTGCGTCACATGTCCCAGCACGGTCTTGTCCTTGGTCTCCCAGGTTCTCTCCCTGCGTTTCCCTCCTCCCCAGCCCCACCTTGCATGCCTTGTGTCGAGGGTCGGCTTCGCCGTGCCCCTCACTCCTCCTCGTTTCCCCCTACCGCCGCGCCGTTGCAGACCCTGCACCTGGACGTCTGGGGCCCCGCCCCTGTCCCTGGGCCGCGTCGAGAGCGCTACTTCCTTGTGCTTGTCGACGACTTCACTCGCTACACCACAGTCTTTCCCCTGGAGCGCAAGGCCGACGTGCCTGGCGCTCTCATCCCCTGGCTTGTCTCTGCGCGTGTCCACCGCGGTCTCCCTGTCTTGCGTCTTCACTCCGACCGTGGTGGCGAGTTTGCCTCAGGTGTCCTTGGTCGCTTTTGTCGTGCGGAGGGCATCACCCAGACGTTCACCCTACCGGACTCCCCACAGCAGAATGGGGTCGCTGAGCGACGCATCGGTTTGGTGATGGAGGTGGCTCGCACCTCCATGATCCATGCCGGTGCACCCCATTTTCTGTGGCCGTTCGCTGTGCGCTACGCTTCTCACCAGCTTAACCTGTGGCCGCACCCTCAGCAGCCGCAGGTTTCGCCGACCAGTCTTTGGACTGGTTCTCCTGGTGACGCGTCTGCGTTCCACGTCTGGGGCTGTCTTGCTCACGTCTGTGCCTCCAGCACGGACAAGCTCACTGCCCGCACCCTTCCCTGCGTCTTCCTCGGTTTTCCCCTTGACGCGTCCAACTGGCACTTTTACCACCCGCCGTCTCACCGCTTCTTTCACTCTCGTGACGTCACCTTTGACGAGTCCGTCTCCTACTACCGTCGCTTCCCCCACCGTGGTCCCCCGGTTACTCCCCCCCTGTTCCTGGTCCCTCCTTCCCCGGTAGTCCCTGCCCCTCCTCCTCCTCCTCCCCGTCCCGCCCCCTCTGGTGTGTCCCACGTCACCCCCCTTCCGTCGGTGGACCCGGTTGAGGAGTCTTCTGACTCTGGTGGCCCTCCTGTGCAGTCCTCGTCAGCCGCCCCTCCCCTGGCGTCCCCTCCCCAGTCCCCTCCTCCCCCGCTTCTGCCGCCGCTGCAGCCGTCGTTGCCGCCGCCGCCGCCGCCGCCGCTGCCGTCGCAGCACCCGTTCGCTGACTCTGGGGGTGCTCGTCCTGGTAGCCCTGGAGGTGGTCCCTCTGGGGGTGCTGGTGTGGAGTGTGTCGGTGGTAGCCGAGGAGCAGCTAGCGGTCCCGGTGTCGCCGTTGTGCCGCCGCAGCAGCAGTCCCCACCGGTGTCAGCCCTTCGCCTGCTCGGCCTGCCGTCCCCCGACCCTGCGTCGGTTCCTCCTCGACTGTCTCCTCTTCTTCCTGTCTACGGCCCTGTTTTCCCTCCGCCGGACTCGTCCCCGTCTCGTCTCCCCCCTCGTTCCCCTCCTGTGTCCCCTCCTCTGTCTCCTGACCCGACTCCTCCGTCGCACGTCTGGTCTCACCGTCCCTTCCGTGCTCGTCCTGCCTCGCCTGTCCTGCGCTCCCACCCTATGTTGCTTCGTTCCCACGCGTCTCGTTCTCCCCTTCTCCCGTCGCCTCCTCCTTCCTCCCTTGTTGTTGCACCCCCCCCGCTGTCTGACTACCTTCGTGCCGCTCGTCCTCTTGTTCCTCGGGTCCTTGCCTCTCTCGTTACCGACCCGTCTGTTCCGGCCTCGTGCC